TCATTTTTTTCCTACTGTCAAAATAGAACAACAGGGGTGTTGTGTCAATTTTTGGATTTTTGGGGGTTCCGCTTGGACATTTTTATACATTAACTCAGTTTTCTATGCATTCATGTGTATAATTCAAATGTGAACTACATGCACATGCTCTAATGCATATAAATTGGTTGAAAATTCAAATATGTGTCCTTGGTTGCATGCTTAGGTCCCATGCAAGAAATGGGAATGAATGTCAAACACCCTGCCACCGTCACTTGGCCGCAAACATTGAGATACCTAGTTTTTAAATTCTAGTAAATGCAAAACTCGTCTGAAATTCATGAAACTTGGCATGCATGATGGAGCGGCATCAACATGCCTTGGTAAAAATTTTGTCCCATTTGGGGTAGGTTTGGGGATATGCTTCTCACAAACCAGAGCTTCTCACAACAAGCCTGATGGTTTCGGTAGGGAACGTCCCACCTTTGGGGACAAAACGATATCCATTGCCTCTTATTGCTTTGAAAAAAAATTCTCGTGTCAACATAGAACAACAGGAGTGTAGTGTCAATTTTTGGGATTTTTCGGGGTTCGTTTGGACAATTTTATGCATTAATTGAGTTTTTCAATTCATTTATGTGCATAATTCAAATTTGAACTACATGCACATGCTCTAATGCATATAAATTTGTTGAAAATTCAAATATGTGTCCTTGGTTGCATGCTTAGGTCCCATGCAAGAAATGGAAATGAATGTCAAATACCCTGCCACCGTCACTCGGCCGCAAACATTGAGATACCTGGTTTTTAAATTCTAGTAAATGCAAAACTCATCTGAAATTCATGAAACTTGGCATGCTATCATGGAGCGGCATCAAGATGCCGTGGTAAAATTTTTGTCCCATTTGGGCCAGGTTTGGGGATATGCTTCTCACAAACCAGAGCTTCTCACAATAAGCCTGATGGTTTCGGTAGGGAACGTCCAACCTTTGGGGACAAAATGATATCCATCTCCTCTTATTGCTTTGAAAAAATTTCTCGTGTCAACATAGAACAACAAGAGTGTTGTGTCAATTTTTGGGATTTTTCAGGGTTCGTTTGGACATTTTTATGCATTAATTGAGTTTTTCAATGCATCTATGTGCATAATTAAAATTTGAACTACATGCACATGCTCTAATGCATATAAATTGGTTGAAACTTGAAATATGTGTCCTTGTTTGCATGCTTAGGTCCCATGCAAGAAATGAGAATGAATGTCAAACACCCTGGCACCGTCACTCGACCGAAAACATTGAGATACCTGGTTTTTAAATTCTAGTAAATCCAAAACTTGTCTGAAATTCATGAAACTTGGCATGCTATCATGGAGCGGCATCAACATGCTGTGGTAAATTTTTTGTCCCATTTGGGGCAGGTTTGGGGATATGCTTCTCACAAACCAGAGCTTCTCACAACAAGCATGATGGTTTCAGTAGGGAACATCCCACCTTTGGGGACGAAACGATATCCATTGCCTCTTATTGCTTTCAAAAAAATTCTCGTGTCAACATAGAACAAAAGGAGTGATGTGTCAATTTTTGGGATTTTTCGGGGTTCGTTTGGACATTTTTATGCATTAATTGAGTTTTTCATTGCATTTATGTGCATAATTAAAATTTGAACCATTCACATGAAGCCATGTCTCTTGGTTTTAATGGCTATAGGTTTTAATGGATTTTGATCGCAAACATTTTAGAAAGAACACCCGTAAGCAAAGTGAGAGCAGGATTTGTGCATCTCTTCAACGCAAACGGTTGTTTTGCATGACACATGTGCAACCACTTACAAACAATTTAGTAAGATTTGCATCTGTCATATTGGGTATGTTGCCATTTGTCAAACTGGAATGATTGACATTTGTTAATATAGTAACATTGCCATTTGTCAACCTGGTAACACTGCGATTTGTCAAAATATGAAGCTAAAAGTCACTAGCAGTATCTAATTTTTTGCAACTAAAATTCAGTAATTAAGCATAGATGGAGGCAGGGAGGCGTGTTCAGTCGGGCGTGCAGCGGGCGACGCAGTACTATTCAATTTGATAGCAGGTGGCGCAGTTCCCTATGCGGCTTTAATACACACGAGGGAGAGGGTAGCGGTTCCCGAAATGTTGAACGACCAATGATGCATCCTCCTTCAATTAGCATCACGAATGCATGAGGAAAGTAATGGGAGGAGTACCTGGAAAAGAGGTAGCACGATGTGAATGCAACGCAGTTTGCGCTCATATAAAGGCACCCCTCCATTCCAATGCATCTACCACATCGTACACACCTAAGCATTTGCCTAAGCACCTACACTAAGCGCAAAAGTTTTCACTCCAGACCCATGGCAGTGATGCACGCGAGCGGCCAGCGGTTGTGCCAGATGGTCCATGACGTTGACATGTGGCATGGCACTGAGGATTGTCTCCAGACGGTGTTGGCGACCTCCTGGTGGATGGCCGCCGTCGACGCCAGCTACGACTCTCAATTGGACCAGATGATCGTTGCCACCACCAACAAGTTCACCGTCGTCAAGAAGCTCGCGGACGACATCGCCGTACTCCTCCTGCCCGTGCGCCCGGGCTCCTCATTGCCTGCCTCCCTAATCGGCCTGCATGGTCGGAACCTCTTTCAAGCACCGGTGGCCCTGCGACTGCCCGCTGACGCCACTTGATATCTCTCCGTCGCGCGTCGTCGCCTGCCGTCACCCACAGTCGCCCCAAGGTAACTGCCTCCCCCTCCCTCTCCACCATCCTCTCCCCTCCCTCTTGCCGCCCTCCTCCTCTCTCC